TGGTCTAATACAACAAATATATACACTAACATAATAAAAATTTAAATTATAAGTAAACAAAAAAAAAGTCTTACGTGGTTCTAAAAGTTGGGTACCAAAAAGCAATGTTTTGAAAATCGGACCGGACCGGCCGGTTCGACCGATTGAACCGTGAAAACCGCCGAACCGGCTGTTTTCCGGTTTTCAGCTTTCCCTTTTTTTTTTTATTTTAAGTTTTGCAAAATGCAGCTATCAAGATTTGAACCAAGACCTTTGTAATAAAAGACCAATGTATTAACCGTTGCACCATCACATTTTATTAGTTTTTTTTGATAATTTATTTATATAAACCAAACACTCATATTTATTTTTTCCATTTTTCTTACAAAATCTCATCCCCTCATGGCTCTTTCTTTTTAATTTTCAACTCTCTCTCTCTCTCTCTCTATCCTCTTTTCTTTTGTCACTCCCTTTTTAATCAAACCTCTTTATTTTTAATTTATTGATGTTTTCTTCAATCTTTTAATTTTGTTTTTATCCATTAAATTGAAAAAAGTTAAAAAGGAATTTTTTTAACCCAAATTATTTAATACCACAACCACTCACTTTTATCTTATTTTTTGTTTCTTATCAAGTTTACATTTCTATTTTCGATTTTCTTGACTTCCTTCGAACTCCAAATTTTCTTTTTTAAATTGCAATCTCTAAATCCCAAAACGTAAAAAAATTTAAGTTCATAATATCTAAATTCTCAGAGGCATGAATTTTGTATAATTTCAAAGTATTGTGATATTTTGGGGTTGGATTTAGATATAATTGAAATTGAGATGAAATTTATTTGTTTTAACTTATAATTTAAAAATTTATTTTTAAAAATCCAAGTTATTAAAAAATAGTAAACTTTTCATCATATAAAATATTAAATTAGTCCATTACATGTCTTATTTTGTACATATATATATTTATATAAATTATTTTTTTAAAAATTCATTGAATCGAAATTGAACCTGTCCGACCGGTTGAACCTCGACCCATTCATTTCATCGGTTCAATTAACGGTCCGATTTTTAAAACATTGCCAAAAAGACCGTCGGTGTTGAAATTCATCGTCAGCTGGATGTCTGCGCTGTATCCATGCATAGATCTGAAGATTTCAATCGTATAACTGACAACGGTTGAAAAGTTTATCCATAAGCGGACGGCCATTTGTTGTTTGGAAAGGGTCGGGGATGGATAAGGCGAAAAGGACTGATTGAATCGTGGGTACACACACAGTCGAGAATTGTGAGGATCAAAAACGCCGGAATTAGTCATCACTCATAGGCCACGCAGTCAGTCGAGAGGTGGCAATGAAGATGAAAGGAAAAGGATATTAATAAAGCGATTGTACTTTGTGAGTGGGACGGTGACAAACATTGGACACACGTGGAGCACGCGGCGACCCACAGTGGAACTGTGCCAGCAACCCAACAATAAATGACAGCCGTCTTCTACCTTGCTACTACTGCTAGTTACTGGCAGTGGTTGTCAGCACACTGCACAAATTTGAGGAGAAGGGTAACCGTCCCTGCCAGTTAATGGTCAAGATTTGGCCAATAAAATTTATAAGATCCAGATTTTAATATGTGTGAAATTCACAAAACGTTGTTTTAATATTATTCGTTGTTATTTTAATATTATATTATATACAAATAATGTTACACCGTATATAAAATACACACAAGCTTTCAAAACGGTTCCAGCCCCGGGTCCCAAATTTGAATGGTTTTTGTGGATTTGGGGGTGACCCTCTCCGGCTCTACCTCGTGTTTAGTTGTCGTCTACCATGGCCGAAACCGATGCTTCGCATTCGCTATTTGGATCCCACAGGTTCCCACGCTATCTTGCTCCTGTCTTAGGCCCGCCGCATCATCCATTTAATTTTTTTTTTCCTTTTCTCTTAAGGTCTATATTTTCTTTTTCCAATTTCACTTTAAGAAAATGACTATCAATAACGCATCAACACCCGAAGAAAAGTAACCTATCATTTAGTACTAACATTAATTTAAATAGCATACGATTTAAGTGACACAAATAAATCAAAAGATGATTATGTCCTTAGTTTTAGGAGCTAGCATGTTTGTACCTATCATTTAAGAATATCATGCTCTTTAATAGTTTTTTTTTAGGTGAACTCTTAATTTAATGCATTTTATATCGTTTGAAACTTAAACAAGTAAGTATTTTATTATAATCAAACTCCATTGAGGGCACAACTCTTTTTTTTTGCCCCTTTTTTGTGGTGGCAAATTATGTGTCCTCAAATTGAATAACAAATGCTGCGTATAATTATTTCACTGGAAAAGCATCCTTTCCCTAGCTATGCTTGATGTGAAGGAAAAGAAGGGGCGGAAAAGGAAAAAGATTATTATCATTTTACTCATTTAAATTATATTATTACTATCAATTTATCCTCTAATGTTATTTTTTAGTCACTTCACTCCTATAGATAATTCAACTCAGCATACTATTATGTTTTGGACAAAAATATCTTTTCATTTTATAGCATTACAATATTGTTATTATTATTTTATCCCTTTAAATTATAGTGATGCAATCGCTTTGCTTTCTAACATTATTTTCTAGACATTTTACCCCATCATTAATCTAACCTATTTAATATTTTTTTAATATATAATTTAAAATAAAAAAATGAAATTGTTATTCTTCCTTTTTTTTCATTCTAAGAGTTCCAAAAACATAAAAATAAAAGGATTTTTAAAATTTCTTTTTTACACTTATTAATAATAGGAAAAGACAAAAAGATAGGAGAGAAGGAGATAGAAAATTAGATTTTGCAAAGAAATAAAACATGGAAGAATCTAATATTATCGTATTATTTTGAATTAGGTAGTAAACATAAAAGTAAAGTAATTTTGAAATAACAAAAATATTGAATTCTTTCTTATTTGTATTTTAAAAAAAGAATTGAACTCTCTCTCCTCTTCCAACTTTCTATTTTCTTTTCAATATTAAAGAGATAATGTTTTAGCTTTTTTTTTCCCTTAATAATAAAAAGGAGAAGAGTCACTCTAAATTTTTTGTTGTTTTTATTATATAAAGAGGAGGCTACTTTCTTCTAAAATTTTTTTAGCTTGCTAAATTCGTTTAATGGTGGGATAAATTGTTTAAAAAATAACTCTAAGAGATAAATTGATAATAAGGATATAGTTTATGGGGGTAAAGTGATAATAATAATTTTAAGTACCAAACATGTCTTTTCACTTGAATCAACAATTCCGTTAAATTTGACCTTTAGTTTTAAGGATAAAGTGACTAAAAAGTAACATTAAGAGAGAAATTGATAGTGACACAAAATATTAGGGAGATAAAGTGATGATAATCCAAAAAGAAATTTAGGTGTTACACAAAATATGCCCATTTATTGAACCAACCAAATTTAAGAGACGCATGGACGCCTAGTGTAACACAGAAGATACCATACAATATATTGAATCTCTGATGATAAAATTCTGATGCCCCTTGGTCTGATCCCTGACCACCCCCCCTCTCCCTCTCTCTCTCCAAATGACAAGCAACTCCACATCACTTCCACGTACCAATACTAACACTTTTTTTTTTTGTCAAATCATAAATCTAATCCCAGAACAGTCCTCAAAAGCCGGCAACTCTTGAGGGTGTCCCGAGGACTTATAACCTAACCCAAACCCAACCCCAACCCCGATGTGGGATAATCAACCTCCACAAAGGAGCCTGCCCTTCGGCGCGGATCTTTTCGCCCGCAACTATTCGGACCCTCACTAACACGACTACATCAATAATTCAATATCTAAAGTTTTTTTTTTCCTGCCCCACCCCAGAAGACGGTTTGATCCGACAAGATAAAAAGATAAGATCAGTTCCTTACCCTATCCCTTCCAACCACCTTCAAAACCTCACGTTTTATCCCATATATCCAGTGTGTGTGTGTGTGATATTTTTTTCCAGTTAGGGTACTATGCAAATAGGGACGTAAAAGAAATCACCCCACATTATCATTTATAAGCCATAAAAAGACTCCCACCGCAGCATCTGATTTGTTAACGTGACAAAAGAGAAACTCCAATTTCTGATAAATGCAGCATTTACCACTCTTTTACTAGTTACTTTTAGTCAACAAGACTAATTTCTCAAATTTCTGATAAATGCAAAGCACGGGCGATCTTTCAAAATGAACAAAAAAAAAAAAAGTTCACATTTTTTACGCACGCAGGATCTACAGACACGGTGGTGTAAATTGCGAGTTTCAACCATAAGCGTATCCAAAAGAAGACAGGGGAAAAGTCAAAAAGGAAGGGTTTCGGAAAGAAAAGGACAGTAGAAATAAATATAATACCACATCGGACGCGAAGACTACAGAAGGGGGAGAGTGGATTGTTATTGTGACTATTATCCAGTAGAGCAGAAAGGGTTGGGAAGTGAAAGGAATGGAGCCGACAGTAGGGGGAGATGGGGCAGTCCACATGGCGGGAAGGTCTTAGATTTTAGGCGGGTAAGGGTAGGACAGCGTGATGAGCAACTAACGCCATAATAACCGAAACTGAACAAACAGAAAGATTTCATTGATTGAGAGATCAACCTTTTTTGGATACTAACGTTTGTTGAAAAAAAAAAGATCAACCATTTTTTTTCTTTTAATTTAGTACAACCACTACTATAATACTATTCTTATTCTTACTTACTACTGGTAAAGAGGAACACAATGGAAAAAACAGAGAGAGGGAGAGAGAGATCGTCCTTCGACACAACACAGAGCAGTAGAATTCAAGAAAATAAAATAAATCCCTTGCCGATTTTCCTCCCCAAAAAAAAAATCCATATATCTATCACCATTTTCAATCATCGTCAATTGTAGTGTACCGTGTATTTCTTCTTCTTTATATATATATATATATATATATATATAAATCCAGAGAGAGGAGATCCGATAAGAGAGAGAGAGCGGAGAAGTGGATAAAACAAGGAAATATTAGTTAATACAAGTACATTATTAGGAGGCAAACTGAGAGATAGAGTCTTCGAGGAGGGACGGTTTCGTTTTGGGTTCTTTGTATTCATCTTGGCTTCGTCTTCCTTTGTTGCTTCCCCCCTTCATCGTCATCATTTTCTTCTTCTTCCCTTATCTCTTTTTCCTGACCTATTACATCAGCTATTATCTTTCCATCCGTTTCTCTGTTATAATACTTGTTTTTTCTTTTCGTTTTCTTTTTTATCTTTGGCTTTTGCATTTCTTGCTCCCTTTTCTTTCCCTCTCAACTTTCTGTTGGTTTCTCGGCAATACTTATCGCCCTCCCCTGGCTGTGTTTTTTCTTTCTTTTTTTCATTTTTTTTGCCCCTTTATCTGACGGTGGTTTTGCTTTATATAAGAAGGTCTCCCTCCCTCACTCTTGGACCTGCAACCCGATACACACTGAAATTAAATAGTATCTATATAGCGTGCACATATATTCCGTCACAGAATATCTATATAGCGTACACATACTCCTCCGCGCTTACGACAGAAGGATGGACAAAAGAAAGCAATCTGGTTCTTCTTCTTCATTCACTTCTGATCTTTTTGGGTCCAAGGAGTCCTCTGCTTCATCCTCTTCATGGATATTTGAGTCCATCTTGGCGCCGTCCCCAAAGGTATCTGCCTATATTCAACAATAAACTCTGTGTCTATTAATTTATTTATTTTTGGGTTGGAGAGTTCTTGAATTTTATTCTAATATTCTTCGATTGTTTGGTACTGTTGATTTCACTTCATGCAAAACCATTGCCACATCAAAGTTTATCTTTTTTTTCCTTTCTTTGGGTGCTTGGAAGGGGGTTTAGTGGTTTAGTGCAATTGCATGTCGCACATGTATCGACGAATATTCGGTGAGAATAACTGAGCGGCATACGAATGGGGGTTTTCTTGAAGAAAAGGGGTCTTGGAGAGGTGATCTTAGTTCGAGAACTATTTACTGAGTAGGATTAATTGTATAAGCGTGTTGTCTGATGCTTATTGTTAATAAAATAACTATTTATGACATGGACTTTTGGAGTTATGGTGCCAACCTCCTTTTTTTGGATTTCTTTATTTGTTAATGTTTTAGTATGACTTTTTTTGGGCTTATTGGAATTAGAAGTTTCTGTTTTACAGCATAAATATTGTTTGTGTATGTTAGAATTTTACAATCTTTTAGCCATTGGAAAATACTATTAACTTAAGCCCTCTTTGACCGATGAAAACTGATGCAGCTTTGGAATTTTCTAATAGTGGTAGTTTGTACTATATAAAGTTCTTGTGCCATTACAAGTTTGGCCCCTCTCATTTCAGGGTTTGGGACGGCAGCCTCCGCGCCCGGAGTTTCTTGAAAAGAAGCAAGACCCTGCTAGTCAGCCCTGCAGTACCAAAGCTCGCCCTTCAGGTTTGTGAGCAATTCAGTGTGTCCTGGAAAGTTGAAAATTTTGATTCAGTTAATAGTATAGCTTCTAGCATGGAGATATCAATGATGCCCTCATTGTTAGGTGCTTTGGTGATTATTTCTGGAATTTGCTTAAAGGTTTTAGTAAGAAACAAGCCACTGTTTTGTCACTTGTATATCATGTAGTTCTTTTTGTTGTATGCCTGTCCTTCTTGTCTTGTCTTGTCTGTATTAAAATTTTAATGTGTTTTTCAAAGGTGAAGCCACTGTTATTCGGTAATTTAATTAGTTCTTCTGTTTTCAGAAAGTATTCCCCCAGTCAGCGGAGGCCATAATGTTGGCATTTTAAACAAGGAGGCGAGCTCATTTTATCAGGAAGAAAAGATGCAACCATGTCATCTCAGCTCGTCCATATACTATGGGGGTCGAGAAGTGTATTCTTACCCTCAGGATACCCAGACCCAGAGCTCCAATACTGTGAGTGTGCATCAATTAACATGTACCACCAAAATCAATTCCTGATAGTTATTGATGATAACATGAACTCATTTTGTTGAGCAGTTCATTCCTACGTTTTCACCTTTCCTTCATGTTACTGTGTCATGCAGCATACATAATCTTAGCCAGTTTTCGTTGGAGAGAAGATTTCGTTTGGAACCGGTTCTGATTTTCGTTTCTTTTTTTGGGAGAAGTACGGATTTTGAGGAAACTGACGTATTTTCACACTCGCATGTGGGGAAAATTGAACCATAGAAAGAAGTGATTTTGTTTATGTGTTCCCCAGATGCTACAAATTTTTAGTACCTAACATAAAATTTTAATTTAGTAACGATCACTGACATAAATTGACTACTGCATTACATTACATAAAAGATTCGGTGGATTTGGACTGATCTGTTTTAGAAGTGTTAGTGGACTGCATAATATGGAACATTCTAACGGTATGCATTTGTTTCCCCTCCTTCAGTTTGGTAAAGATGGTGGAGAAGATGACTCTGGCTCTGCATCAAGAGGCAATTGGTGGCAGGGTATGTTAATAATTCTGAGGCGTTAAAACTACTCTACCGTGTAGGACACCGGATTTCTGAATTGACTATTTGCATTCTGTTGACTTCTGCCAGGATCTCTGTACTACTAGCAAGCTCACCGCCAAGGGACTGTGGACTCGTAAGTCTCGTATATAATTAAGCAAGCTAGGTATGAATACTGAATGTTTTGTTAAATACAAAAATTATGCAGCTAATAAATCTCTTGATGCCATTGAAACTTTAGGCAAAAAAAATCTAGCGCAAGCTGAAAATGAAAACCAAACGGGAAGCGAAAACTTAGAGGTGGAACCCCGTTTAATGTAGTCCAAAGTACTGCGTTCCTAGAAAACCCGCTCGTGTGACTTTATTGTCATTATTATTAATGTAGTCCAAAGTATTCAATTTTTACATACATGTCATGAATCCGACGATGATAGTGTATACACCGCCAGAAAGATTCTCTCTTATTATTATTATTATTATTATTATTATTATTATTATTTGGAGCGTAGTACCAGAAGACTGAGTTGTATTCTGTAATTTGTTGATGCAGGGCGCAGGAAGCTGGAGGTTATTAGGATAGGTAGAAGATCTTAGCTAAGGGCCAGTTACTCAGTTGCTCCCATGGCAGTAGAAATCAGAATTATCAACTGTAATAGTAGTCAGTATAGTGGCAGTGGTTATAGAACTTTTTATCTTTTATCATAAATAGTCAGTGTATGTGCTAAAGACTTAAGTGATGCTGGTTAGCAGGATCACTTTACTTTCTATGAGCTTACTTTTCAGGGCTGATTACCATTACATCTTTCTATAAAAATGGCCGTGATTCCCTTTGTGTGAGTTTAACCATTGTCCTGAAAACGAATCAATGCTGGCCGTTTCGTAAGTAGATATTTGGTCGGAAGTTGCCGGGGTGTTTGATTTAAAAAAGAAGAAGAAAATATCTACCCGTTTCCAATTCGATGTGTGTGATTTAATTCCTCTCGGAGTTAGAAAACGTTCGATTCCCGTTGGACGGCGGTTGATTGTCGTTTGCCACCCAACACCGACAGAGGAACTAAAAGGACACCGACATGCCTCCGGGGAGTAGAATAAATCATCGGCGGGCGTGGCGGTCCACCAACAACCCATGTTGCGCGCCTACTTCAGTAGACTGCTGTGGCATGTTTAGAGTCCAACGCAATACGATCTTATCATGATCGGCAACAATTTGTCAGAAGGTCTCGTGCTCACCTGTTTGTTTTGTCTGTTTGATAAAGGTTGTGGGAACCAGGGATTACTAGCAGATAGACTGCCTACTGGAGAAAATCTTTAGTCGGTTGTTAGTGAAATTTATCCTTCGGATAATGGAAAAGAAAGCTTACTGGCTGGGGATGGGGTGGTTGGGTGTGCGTGGACAGCGGTATTTTGAGCTGCTTAGAAGCCTTTGATTCTCAGTTAGATGAAGATGCTTAAAAGCCATTCACAGATTTGCTTCCATCTCAGGAAGATATGATGGTTTGTTTGGCAACCAACTGTTTGTAACTTGAACGCGATCTACATTAATTCATCAGTACTTGGCGGTTTTACTTGCAGCAATTAATTGCTGATGCCGTTTTGGACTTTTGAGGGGTTGAAGGTTACAGAAGGTAATTGGTACTCACTAGCCTTTTTCAGTTTGATTTGATGATCATGTGCTTTCAAGGCAGGGGTGTAAGTGGCAACGAAAGAGCCTGATTCCTTCAGAAAAACAGCCATGATAAATACGGGAGGAAAAAATGGAAATTCAAGAAAGTGAGATTGCGTAGAGCTTACGTCCACGTCTGTAGGCCACAGGACAATTGACGAAACTGTAGCGGTTGGGGATGGATGGTAAATTGGTAATAGCATTTCTGGCTCGAATCCACGACTCCTGGCGGTATTGGAGGGTAGACAGCACAGAGGCAGCTTAGATTCAGGCCTGTTTTCTTCACCAGAAGGCAGCACCTGTCTGAAACAGTATCTTCTTCTGCTGCCAGTGCGCAAGGGGCCTGATTAATTGCCCTTTACTGTTGTGGGTTCTAAGGTCTAACGCAAATGCGTTCAATTACGTCCATCAAACAAGGAAGCACCACACACACACACACACATATATATATATCTTGTTCAATGTGAAATTGCGGCTTAGAATAGCCACTTCAGCAGCCACTAGGATAACAAACTTGTCAAATGGCATGGAAAAAAACTTTGACGGTGACTATAGCTAATTATTGAAGCTGTACAATCTTCCCATTACTAGCTTGAGGTCCTAATGTGGCATCAATCGTCAAGTATGCCTCTAGATTTCTCCATGTAAAGCACATTCATTTGGGAATTGAGATCTTTGAGAATGTGGGTGGTGGCAACTGGCAACAGGCGACGGATGCCGGATGGTTAAAGTTTGGGACGTGGTGAAGTGATTGCCAGATTGTTAAAAGTTTTCGAGTAAGAGCTACTAGCAATGTTTAAACGTATTTAAGTATTACTGAGAATTGCATTACATGGAGCCAATACCATGAAAAATTCGGCAATTGTCTATACAAATGCTAATCCTTCCAAATTCGAGGGATGGTCGAGCCAGTTCGACCAGAGAATACCTCACCTTGGGAAGTTGTATGGGAACTTACAAGCAACTAACGCCATTCGGACATATGTATTGATGCAAGGATGAAATACACACTATTTATCAGTCAAAAACAATATGGAGGAATTTGTTCAAAGCTGAGTCTCTTGTTCATTCTTCGCGAGGAGAATCGTGTGCTAGGGGGCTCTTAACCTCGCTGGGAAAATCAGAACAGTCCAATGATTGAGATGCCGATGACTCTTGGTATGTACTCGAAGATGAATCTGATCTTATATTTTGTTTGTTCAAGTCCTTCCCTTTCGCATCGATACTCAAATAATCTGTCAAAACCTTTTTCACACCGAACCCTCGATGGGGAAGCTTGTTTTCAAGAATTGGTGATCTTTCGACAGTTGCAGGACTAGGGCGCAGCGCAGGTGAGAAGCTTGGTGTGGTAAAAGCTGTTTTGTACGGAGTATTTGAGGGAGGCACGATAACAACACCCCTATGAGCAATCATACCGACCTTCGACATAGAAAAAGGTTGATCCGAATGCTTGGTCAAGTCATCCACATAAACTAGGTCGTCAATGCGGGCCACAATGTTGAATGCCAAACTCTCCAATACCCGTGAGTAGCTCTCCAATATGGCCTTGCCGACATCCTAAGAACGGGGGGCATACACGAAGGATTCAGCAAAGGATATTGTAAATTTTCTAATAAAAGAAACACAGATATTAAGGAAGAAAAAAATGCGAACATAACAGGTACTGAGAAGTGCAATGCCAGGGAAAACCTTGTTATACTGAATTTTACTCATGTCTAAGGTCGTCTGAGAGAGACCAGGAAACCGTTGTCTCAAGCAAAGCAGCAGGCTTTCGGCTCTCTCTGAAAGCAGCTCTCTCTTGTCTGCATCAATGACCAGATCCTTGACAATTTCCCATGATGACTTTGGATTGGATTTATTTGTGCTATTTAAATGTTTTGAGCTACTTCGACGACGCCAGGCATAAATTGACGCCTCCACTCTGTTAGCAATCTCGAGAGCTTGATGCTCTGATGACAAGTCAAGGCAGTCGAGCAAACACTCCGGAGAAAATTGATCTGAATTGATGTATCGATAAATAAGGTCACCCAAACTGGCTTTGGCATTCTGTCAGCAAATTAAGGAAGAATACGTAAGCGATACATAGAATCTTTTGTTTCATATAAATGGACTTAGAATTTGGGAACCATACCTTTGGAAGAGCTTCCAAATATGACTCGGGAACTTCCATATCAGCCAAAGTAATGCTGTTGATTGCCATCGCAGCTTTGAGGATTTGGTTTGTACAATCACGTCTGTGCTGCAACAGTTTTCTTGCATTCCCACTGAGGCCACCTATGGGGACTCTAGGCACTGGCAGCCACCATTTCTCCTCCTGACGGGGGAGGGGATTCCGGAATGAGGATGATCCGTTTTCTTCTAGAGACATGATCCCCTGGTCAACGTACCAGAAGTCTGTGTTCTTGAAGCTATCTAATATTTCCTGTGAGAAGAGGCTAAAACTTAGAAAAGGTCACTCAATATTGTCAGCAACGTTCCAAAAAGCAAGATTTGGACCTTACGAGAAGCATATTATCTAATTTACGTAGAGCAGGGAGGTTAACATATAGATCAGACCGCGGCCTGGAGGTCATAACCTGCATCAAACATGTACAAGAATCAATAAAAGCAGCTTAGACATCCTTTTATATTGAGCATAGTGTATTGAGACACTTTAGATTATTTAAGATTCCCTGCTCCGGTAACTAAGTTTTTTTCTTTAATCAAAATGGCCATGCAACTATAGCAGAAAACGTACAATTTTTGGACCATACATACATTTTTATAGATGAGTGGCTAGAAATGTACGCTTTTGTTAGTTGAATAACCATTTTGACTAAACAAAGAGTTAGTGATCAAAGCAAGGAGTTTTTGTGCCATTTGCTTCGTCCTATTTGCCTGCAAAAAGTACATAAATATTTTCTAAATACTTCCTGAATAGGCTTTGCTAAATTGCGTAATAGCCTTTAAATTAACCTAGCCAACATCAAGAGTCCAATAATCTTAGCGAATACTCTTTAGAGAACTAATCAACTCAATATCTTTTTGACACAAAAAAAAAAATCAACTCAATATCTGACAAGAATACATGACGGTTGCAAATTGATATGGCTTTGTCAAGGGATACTGATAAATTAGAGTTTACCTCAAGAGTGCTTCCATCTGGAAATGTCTGCAAAGATGGTATCAACTCTACAATGTGATCACTAACAGAAAGAAGCCATTCCATTTCTCTTCGCCACATTAATCTCTTCTCAAGAGGAAGAGGTTCTAATCTCCAAATTTGCCCAAAAATTGTAGCTAGTGGAAACAATAAACAATTAAGGAAAATGCGGGGTTACTTACGAACCATGACAACCAACTGAGATCAAAGAAAATTAAACCAATCATGTTAAGAGTTGGTAGATCAAGAGGACATACCACAGAGATTGGTAATAGCATTGGATATAGCTAGAGAAGTAGAAACCCCATTTCCACACCCAGACATATCCTCCCCGAGCAGCAATTTGGCAAATCTTTCTTTCATCATTTCAGTCTCTGCTCAAATTAATGTTTCAACAAATATAAGTAAAAACGAAGTTCTTGAATCGACAAGTAAATATTGACAAAATGGCACAACAAACACAGTCCATACAGCGGAAAACAAAAATTGCACGGTGGCATCCTACCTGATAGTGATGACCCTTGTTTCTCTAACTTCCTGGTGTCAGAATGGGGTTTGTGCGCATCTTCAGAAACATGAGAACTGGCATAATGCGGTGGTTCATCCTTCTGAATAGGCCAAATCATTGAAGGCGGCGAAGAGGAATCCTCAGTACTATGTTCTTCATCGTTCAGAGTTACTTCTGACGCCAGAAAACATGAACTTGAACTACTTTCCCCAGACTCCTCCACAGCTATACGGTCATTGTCACAAAACCCATAATTTCCATTTCCCATTTCCTCCCTCTTCTCCGGTGAAGAATCCATCTTGCCCTCAGATGAGCAAGGTGAAGCACAATAAACAGAGTTGTTGACTACCATCCCATTAAAATGAAAACGTTCACTGCGGAATGAGCTGGACATTTTAGGTCTAACATGCAAATTACTCAGTGTTTTTGAAGCCCAATACTTGAGTAGAAAAAATGGGTTCTTCTTTCTTGAGCTTCTTGTGGACTGCTTTAGAAATGCATAATGCTTGAGCTGTGGCTGATATCGTACA